GTTTTGTAGACTTGGAGAAGACCCATGACCGTGTTCCTCGAGGAATTCTGTGGGGGMTGCTGCAGGGGTATGGAGTGTCTGGYTTGATATTAGGAACAATCCAGTCCCTGTAGAACCAAAACAGGAGCCATGTTTGAATTTGGCACAAAGTTGAGGTTGTTCTCAGTGCAGGTTGGACTCCAGGGTCTCCAATCCTMTTTGTAGTGTTTATGGACAGGATCTCAAGGTGCAGTCATGGAGAGGAGGGAGTCTGGTTTGGGAACCACAGGGTCTCATCTTTGCTGTATGCAGATGATGTGGTTCTGTTGGCGTCTTCGGACCAAGACCTTCAGCGTGCACTGGGGTGGGATCTTCAGATTGACAAAGGTAACGTTTTTGTTTGGTTAAAGACAACAAATGTTGCCAAACACAGTTCCCAGAGAGTAAAATATGAGTGAATGAATACCAGGTCAGGCATGATACTGAATCTATGTTGAAATTATACAAAAAGTGGTCGGTGACTTACTTGTTGAAACAACGCTCGATTTTCAATCACAACTGATCCTATGTCAATGTTGGTTCAAAATTGATTAAATGTTTCAATCATTAGAATTCAACCGTGAAACAACATTGATTCAATAACATCTTTTCAGCTTTAGTTATTTGTCTAGAATTGGATGGTTGATCCACCATCAATCGTTGACTTCAACCAAAAATCAACATTTTGACCATAATTCAAATTTGAATCTTTTGCTACACGAGTTTACAGTCAAGTACAATAAATCCTCAAGATTAAAACTGTTCTGGATTGGATCCTGGTTCTGACTGAACAATAAAGACGTTAGAGAAACTGTGCAGGCCCAGGTGGTTCTGGAGCTGCCCACTCAGCGATCCTGAAGAAAGAGACAGAACCACACCTGAACCGGGCTGCTGACTAATCTCAGAGACTTGGAGGAACATTCCTCACCTGCCTATCTGGGTCAAACTCCAGCTAACGCACGTCGTCTGGAACCATTTGTCACGTTTATGTTGCTGACCCAGCGAGGACACTGTGGAGAACCGACGGCAGCAGGAAATATTTCCACATCAACAAACACAGAGCGGCTTGGTCCAGAAGTTATGGAAGGAAAAATACCAGATATCATTTAAACTAACTGAGAAACATTTGTTCTGACAGCAGGAGGAACGAGAAGAGAGAGAGATTATGACCAACTTAAACTCACTCCAACCAGCCAGAGGTGGTCCACTATCGACTGGAGGTGGTCCAGTATTGACTGGAGGTGGTCTGCTATTGAACAGAGGTGGTCCACCAACTGGAGGTGGTCCACTATCGAACGAAGGTCATCCAATATTGACTGGAGGGGGGCCCACTATCAACTGGAGGTGGTCCACTATCGACTGGAGGTGTTCCACCAACTAGAGGTGATCGGCCAACTGGAGGAGGTCCACTATTGAACAGAGGTGGTCCACTGTCAACTGGAGGTGGTCTATCAACTAGAGGTGGTCCACTATCAACTAGAGGTGGTCCACTATCGACTGAAGGCGGCCAACTATCGACTCAAGGTGGTCCACTATCAACTGAAGGTGGTACACTATCAACTGGAGGTGGTCCACTATCGACTAGAGGTGGTCCACAGGTGGTCCACTATCGACTGAAGGTGGTCCACTATCGACTGAAGGTGGTACACTATTGACTGGAGGTGGTCCACTGTCAACTAGAGGTGGTCCACTATCGACTGAAGGTGGTCCACTATCGACTGAAGGTGGTCCACTTCAACTGAAGGTGGTACACTATCGACTGAAGGTGGTCCACTATCAACTGAAGGTGGTACACTATCGACTGAAGGTGGTACACTATCGACTAGAGGTGGTCCAGAGGTGGTCCACTATCGACTGAAGGTGGTCCACTATCGACAGAAGGTGGTCCACTATCAACTAGAGGTGGTCCACTATCGACTGAAGGTGGTCCACTATCGACTCAAGGTGGTCCACTATCAACTGAAGGTGGTACACTATCGACTGGAGGTGGTCCACTATCGACTAGAGGTGGTCCAGAGGTGGTKCACTATCGACTGAAGGTGGTCCACCAAATAGAGGTGGTCCACTGTCAACTAGAGGTGGTCCACTATCGACAGAAGGTGGTCCACTATCGACTCAAGGTGGTCCACTATCAACTGAAGGTGGTATACTATCGACTGAAGGTGGTCCACTATCAACTAGAGGTGGTCCAGAGGTGGTCCACTATCGTCTGAAGGTGGTCCACTATCGACTTGAGGTGGTCCACTATCAACTGGAGGTGGTCCACTATCGACTGAAGGTGGTACACTATCGACTGGAGGGGGTCCACCAAATAGAGGTGGTCCACTGTCAACTAGAGGTGGTCCACTATCGACTGGAGGTGGTCCACTATCGACTGGAGGTGGTCCACTATCGACTTAAGGTGGTCCACTATCAACTGAAGGTCGTATACTATCGACTGGAGGTGGTCCACTATCGACTAGAGGTGGTCCAGAGGTGGTCCACTATCGTCTAAAGGTGGTCCACTATCGACTGAAGGTGGTCCACTATCAACTGAAGGTGGTCCACCATCAACTGGAGGTGGTCCACTGTCGACTGGAGATGGTCCACTATGCATTTCCCTCCATTATATATATTATACAGTATATATTCTACAAGGTTTTTTGGGGAAGATATGTGGAAAATTAAAAAATTTCCTGTTTAGAAGAGAAATGTCTGAGATCAGACAGAATGGAAGTCTATGAGAGTTTGGGTGTGTGACCTCTGACCTCTGAAAGGAAACCATCAGTCCTGCAGCAGAGATGCTGGATTCAGTATCAGCTTCAACAAGTACCTCTAACAGAATAAAAGCCTCCTGTTCCCTGGTGAGATGCAGGTTTTGTGGTTGTTGTTTTTCAGAATGTTTAGGTGAAGTCAAACAGAAACCATGATAGAGACTGCAGAGTATCACTCATGTACCTGTACAAGATTCAGAAAGCTGAAGATGACTAAAAACATTAAAAATTAAATGAACTAAACTTCTAATCTTTTAACAGAAAAAACAAACAAAATAAAACTCCTAAAATCAAGAAATCAAACAGAAACAAAAACTGAACCAAGATCCAACAGATCCAAACATCCTGATGGAGAAACAGAACAGGTGCAGAGCCAGATAAAAGAGGAGAGGTGAGCTGAACGAGTCAGCACAGGTGTACACACACACACACTGGTTTTTCTATCCTTGGGGGGACTTTGCATTCTATAGCCTAACCCTGACGCCTTACCCTAAATCTAACCCCCCACCCAATATCAGCATCCCTAGTCATGGGGATGGTCCTCATAAAGAGCACTGGGTCCCCACAAGGAAAGGATGTGTTTGTCTGGTATAAGGTCCCCAGGATGTAGTAAATACACACCCCCCCCCCACACACACACACACTCACACACACCAGTCTGAGTTTGTTCTCTGAATGTATGAAGAGGCAGAAACCCACACTAAATAACTCATATTACAGCCAGACAGGAACACACACACATATACACACACAAACACACACACACACACACACACACCCTTTTAGCACAAACACATCACAAAGCATGCAGAGCGAGAAAAACGCCGACCCATAATGCAGTGCCTGAGGTTCTGTCTGAGACCCTGTTAATGTCTGAACACAGATTCTGTTGTTTGAAACAAAAACTCAGAAATGTGACGATGAAAGTTCTGCTGATTTCATGATTTAATCAAAGGTTCAGATGTTTTTACTCATCTGGACATTTATTATTAGAAAAGGTTGTTCTGTGTATAAAAAGATATTATTTCATCTAATGTAACATTTTTCTGTTTGTTGCCCAGGTTTAAAAGAACACACACACACACACACACACACACAC